GTTGTTTAAATTGTTCTTCTATGCTTAATGGGTTCCTAATGCTTAATTTTAGGTTAGACAACAAATGATCAAATTAGGGAATTAGGAACACAAGGTTATGACCACACACCATGGCTTAATCATACTTTAGCTAGAATCAATCCATTAATCTAATTGAACTTGGGAACTTATCTGCTTGAGTTAGTTATTTCTTTCTTCCTTGTTTTATTTATTTCCTTTCTTTTTCATTTCTGTTTTGTGTAGGGAAACTGAATTGGATCATTCAATCACCAATCCTCGTGGGATCGACCTCGCACTTACATACGCTATACTACCGAACGGCTCGTGCACTTGCGAGTATCACAAGTTGAGGATGCAACTGAATCCATTTTGGTGCAGCTGTATCTACGCAACAGTGACTGTTGCCATTTTTTTACTAGTGCTCTTCAGAATTTGTTCTTGTGTGGTAGTCCGTCGTCTTTTACAATTAATTGCTTGGAGAATCAGAAATTATGGAGACTAAATTAACAACCCAATATATATTTTATGATTTCTCTCAAGATCGAGAAATTATGGGAGTTAATAAAATACCCAATGGATTAATTGAACGAAAACCCCCATGGCCATGGCTTCTCTGAGAGCCAAAGAAAAAAAAACTCGCAGAATGTTGGGCGGTGAGTAGGAACAGAGCTGCAGTGTTCGGTGCAATCTTGACCATACGTAAGGCCCCGTTTGGTTCACGGAACGGATTTGATGGGAAATCATTTCTTATGTCATTTCCCAAGGGATGATAAATGGTGAGAGCTGTTTGACGCATTATGTTAATGCCAATATTAACCAATGTTAGTTCCACCCTTCCCTTAGTAGTTGTTGTCCAGGTGTCATAATATCATAGGTGTGTACTACCATATGGTAGTCAATATCAACTTTTTGAAAACTCAGGCCCTGTTTGATATTCTACTAAAAAATTATGATTCTTTTTAGAAATATGAGTTTTCAAATAGTGATGTTAAGATCTAAAAACTTATTTGGTATTGAACTCCAAACTATTTGTAAGATCTAAAAAAAATAGGAATTAAAATCAGAAATCCTAGATTCCCAAATTGAAATTAACAAAAGAAAAGGAAAATCTATGAGCTTTCAATAAAAATCCTAGAAACCTACATGAAAAAAGATTGATCAATATTGGGTTGGGTAGTGGACGAAGGAGACCTTGATGGCCTTGACGGAGCTACAAAAGACAACCTTGACGGAGTTGCGAACCACGGCGTGGACCCAGAACTACCAACCAAAGAGAGAGAGGGAGAGAGAGACTATAAAATCTCACTTTTTTTGTTTTCAAAGGGTGTTTTTGAGTTTGTTTCGGGTTTGGATTTTTAAAAATAGACCTATCAAATATCATGCAATTTTCCCAAAAATAGTATTGCATATAAGAGAAACATTAGGCACCGTGTGGATGGTCTAGCATATATATGAACTATTGTCAAATATATATGATCATAAATTATTAGTGCTTCACCATCGTAAGATATAACAACAACATTCAATTACTTAACAATTATCAATCAAGATGGACATAGTAAATTGATATAATGAAGTTGGTGGAAACAATACCAATGCTCATAATGATATTCACCTTCTTCAAATTATCCAGCTCATAAACACATATACGCTAATATTCAAAGTCTGAATGGAATAAATATTATTCAAACTACTGGTCATAAGTTCCGTATACATTTTTATTATTATTATTATTTTTGTATATGAATTAAATTTGGCAAAACTATCTTTGAATACATGCGTAATGCATATGTAATTAATTAATAACTACACTGAAGACCAAAATACATAATTGCTGACACATATCTACCAAACGGGGCCCTCATCTTTTTGAAAAGACTTATAGGGCCTTAGGCACCACAAGCTGCATGTTCTTGAGTTAACATGTGTAGCATGCTTGTACTTCAAATTTTTGAACCTTATATCAGAAAACTTGAGCAGCATTGTCACAATTATTGAGAAGAAAGGGGGAGTTGTTGGGGTCCCTGGTCCCCCAAGTGATTTTTGTTTTTGTTTTTGGTGTGTCCTTTCTAGAAAAGAAAGTCCAAGCTCATTATCAAAAGCCCCCACTAGGTACGTTTCCCATTAGTGTTTGTTCTCCAACACTGATTACCCTGGCTACTTCCTCCCCTCCAAGTTCATGTGAATGAATGCACTGCTCTCTGTTCCAATTTGAATCCATTTGATAAGAGAGAGAGAGTAGAGTTTCCCATAGTGTTTGCTCTCTTCATTTGCAAGGTTTTGTGTGAAAATGGATGGTTCGGATCATTTGGTGCATGAGAGGAGCAAGGCACAGTTTGATGTGGAGAAGATGAAGATCGTCTGGGCGGGTTCTCACTACGCCTTTCAAGTCTCCAATCGAATTGCTCGCCTTGTGGCTGGTGATCCGGCCTTTAGAAAGGAGAATAGAGCTGTTCTAAGTAGGAAGGACTTGTTTAAGAACACTCTGAGAAAAGCAGCTCATGCCTGGAAAAGGATCACTGAGCTTGGACTCTCTGAAGAAGAGGCCTCATGGTTAAGGTTTTATGTTGATGAACTATCTTATGCTTACGTTCACTGGGGAATGTTTGTGCCTGCTATTAAAGGCTCAGGTACTGAGGAGCAGCAAAACAAGTGGTTGCCTTTGGCAACTAATATGCAAATTATTGGTACATATGCGCAGACTGAACTTGGGCATGGCTCGAATGTTCGAGGGCTTGAGACCACCGCAAATTTTGATCCTAAGACTGATGAGTTCATCATCCACAGTCCTACGCTGACCTCAAGCAAATGGTGGCCTGGTGGACTGGGAAAGATTGCAACACATGCTGTTGTCTATGCCAGGCTTATTACTGATGGGCAAGACCATGGTGTGCATGGTTTCATTGTCCAACTACGGAGCTTGGATGATCACTTGCCTCTTCCAGGCATAACAGTTGGTGATATCGGGATGAAATTTGGAAGTGGAGCTTTCAATTCCATGGACAATGGTTTTGTAAGATTTGATCATGTCCACATACCAAGGAGTCAAATGCTGATGAGGGTGTCACAGGTTACAAGAGAAGGTAAATATGTACACTCCAATGTTCCCAGGCAGCTAGTTTATGGAGCTATGGTTTATGTGAGACAAATAATTGTAGTTGATGCTTCCATTGCCTTATCAAGAGCAGTATGTATAGCTGCTAGATATAGCGCTGTTCGTCGACAATTTGGTTCACAGAATCATGAGATCAGTGCAACTGGTGTTGAGACACATGAGATCAGTGGAACTGGTGTTGAGACACAGGTGATTGATTACAAGACTCAGCAAAGTAGACTTTTTCCTTTGTTGGCTTCTGCCTATGCTTTCAGATTTATTGGTGAGTGGTTGAAATGGCTATATACTGATTTGACACAAAAACTGGAAGCAAATGATTTCTCCACATTGCCTGAGGCTCATGCCTGCACTGCTGGCTTGAAGTCCTTGACCACTTCTGCAGCTGCTGATGGCATCGAAGAATGCCGAAAACTATGCGGTGGGCATGGCTACCTATCAAGCAGTGGCCTTCCCGAGTTATACGCTGTTTTTGCCCCTGCATGTACATATGAAGGAGACAACATTGTTCTGCTTTTACAGGTTGCAAGGTTCCTCATGAAGACTATTTCCAAACTGCCCTCTGGTCGAAATTACAAGCTTTCTGGAACAACAGCTTACATGGGTCATATGGAACATTATTTGATCAAATATAGCTGCAATGTTCAAAAAGCTGAGGATTGGTTAAAACCCAATACAATACTTGAGGCATTTGAAGCAAGGGCTATTAGAATGTGTTTTTCTTGTGCTCAAAACCTCACCAAGTTTGCAGATCAATCAGAGGGATTTTCGGAACTCTCAACTGATTTAGTTGAGGCTGCAATTGGTCATTGCCAACTAATTGTTGTTTCCAAGTTCATTGAGAAATTGCAGCAGAACATTGAAGGAAATGGAGTGAAACAACAGCTGGAGACCCTCTGCTACATATATGCTTTGCATCTGATTCATAAAAATTCAGGCGATTTTCTCTCCACGGGTAGCTTAAACCCCAAGCAAGCTTCACTTGCCAATGATCAGCTTAGATCTCTGTATGCCAAGGTGCGTCCAAATGTAATTGCCCTTGTTGATGCATTTAATTACAGTGACCACTTCCTTGGCTCAGTTCTTGGGTGCTATGATGGGAATGTTTATCCAAAGCTCTATGAAGAGGCATGTAAGGACCCTCTCAATGACTCAGTTGTGGCTGATGGCTATAGTGAATACATCCAGCCTCTGCTGAACCAGCAACTCCTAAATGCAAGGCTGTGAATTAAGATGGACAATGGAGACAAACCCCACTAGCCTTCTGTTTTTCCTTTCCTTTTTCTCCTCTCATCTCAAGTGTGTGTTTTTTTTATTATTATTTATTTTAATAGCTTTTGGCAATAATTAACTTGTTTTTTCATCTCCACAGCAACTTGCTTTTTGTTATAAGGTGGAGTCTAAGATAAGATACATAACAGAAAGACTAGATGGGATTGCAGATCAATCTCAAGTATTCTAGGAGGTTTTCGTTTATCTTCATGGTAATATCCTAGATGGGATTTGCACACTCTTTTAGGGGTTGCATGTGAAGTCTTGAATAGCACAGGGGATGATGACCACAAAAAAAAAAAAAAAA